CTCCTCCCTTCTGAAGTTTCTCTCTGACTAGCCTCCTGGTACCTCACACCCTCCATACCCTGGCTCTCCACAGAGCTCCCTGCCCTACTGGTCAGTCTTCAGTCCATGATGGCCTTGGGCCCCACTAACTCATGTTTTTTCTTTTTTCCATGCCCACTCCTCCATTTTCATGTTGATAAAGATTTAGCTGTCAGACTAAATGTACCTCTTAAAAGGTTGAGTGGAGAAATTGTAATCGTTTCTTGAGCTGCATATTCCTGTCTTTTTCCATATCTTTGAAATTCGATCTAACTAGGGTCATCTTTGTTCTTTTTTGCCTACTATTCATTACACTCATTTTTCACCTATCTTTTAACCCAAGATGGTTTTAGAGGCACCGGAATTATACTGAAAGTTACTACCTAAGAAAATCATCTTTTTTTTTTTTTTTTTTTTTAAATTAGGATTTTTAGGTCAAAAGAGAAATATCTTTCTGGGTCTCTTTAAGTTCTTGAAGAACAGCCTCTGAGTGACTACTAGGGAGGGTTGTTGGGCAGTGTTCTCATTCATTCAATAAATTGAACAAAGATTTGCTGCCTTATCACGCGTTGTGAATTATTATTCTCAGCAGCAAGGGTAGCAGCACCAGATAGACATTACCCGCCTTCCAAATCCTACCAAAAGGGGAGTAGACTCCTTAGGGCCGTCGGCAGTGAGGGGTTTGTGAAGATATGCCGATTTCCAGCACCTCCGCGTTGTGTCTCCTCCACTTCTGAAGCAGACCCTCATTCCTCCATGTGGAATCTCCATTGCTCGTGAAGCAAACCGAGGCTTTCAAAGAAGAAACATGCAACCAACTCAGGCCTCCTTTGCACCGGTTTTGCTGCTCTTGTCACACCTAGGTTCTCAGCAGTACCTACTACTCACCCATCACGCTACTTCCAGCAAGGTCTAGACTGCAAGATTAACCTTGGTTTTTAAGTAGGGGGGCGGGCTTAAAACCTTGTGTTTGACTCCTGATGTTCAATACCTTTCAACACCAATTAGTTTTGCTTTGGAACAACCCAATCACCTCCAAATTTAGCTAAGAAAACAAGAAACTATTTTACTCCAAGGTTTAATGAGTGGCAGAGAATAAAATTGGGGCTTGTACTGGTTTACTGACTTCAGGTAGAACAAATAAGGGGCAATCAAGGGAAGGGGAAGCACAGAATATACTATGAATTCTCTTCTCAAAGATGTGAACGCTTTGTGTATATGTTAACTCACAGAAACTAAACCAGTCCTGTCACCATTCAATGAGAGCTCCCTAGTTGTGTGATATCATAATCTGCATAGATGAGAAGATAAAATTAAATTAAATCCCACCTATTTGGAAGCAGGAAGAATTTTGACAGAGAATTTCTTTTCTTTTTTAAAAATTTTTTTTAACATTTATTTATTTTCTTTTGAAAGACAGAGAGGACAGAGCGCCAGTCGGAAGGGGAAAGAGAGAGGCAGGACACAGAATCTCAGCAGTCTCCAGGTCTCTGAGCTGTCAGCACAAGACCCGATGTGGGCTTAACTTTTGAACCATGAGATCATGACCTGAGGCAAAGTCAGCTGCTTTACAAGTGAACCACCCAGGCGCTCCCAGTACAGAATTATTTCAAACGAATGACATTTGCTTTGGGAAGTAAGAAAATTACAGATAATAGAGATTCTGCTCCATTTTTGCTTCAAGAAATACTGACTTCAATGCATCCCCCCACCTTCCCTTACCACCCTCCAGCCTATCGGAAGAATCTACCTTGACAGTGACAGTGGGTGCTTCCATCATGCTGGGTCTGGAGAGAATTTGTCAAGCCCCGTTTGGACAGACCTGATTCTTTTCTTTTCTCCTTGTGGCTTTCTGTTCAACAATTCACCTAACTGGGAAATCATTATTAATTATTTTTAATGTGATATGGGATTTTGTTATTAGAAATACATATTAGTATTACAGATAACATGATACAATGCCTGGAATTCACTTCAAAAATAATCAAGGTCAGGAAGAGGGTCACCAATCAAGAAATTTAAAAATGATTGACACACTAGATATTGGTACACGGAGATTCATTATACTTTCTATACTTTATATATATTTGAAGTTTTTTCATAGCAAAAGGAAAAAAAGATTTTAAAAGTTAAATCTATAAGAGGCCATCTTTATAAACTGCTTGATAATCTGAATGCCATTTTAGTGTTGACAACAAGAATGAATAACTACTGGCACTGTGTTACATTCTTCCATGCTGCTATTCTAGTGCTAATCCCATGACAAGCCCAGAAGGTCAGTATTATCCTGATATTACAGATGAAGAAAATGAGACATAAGTGCAAAGAACCTGACTAACTCTATAGCATATGACAGAGCAGGTGAAATCACAGTCTGGCTGACCTAAGGGACCTATGTAAAATCACTATGTGTTGTTCTTCACTTATAATATTTATTCCATAAAGTGGGATAGAATGCTGTCAGTGGAAAATTTGGACATGCAGCCCTTTGTTTATTCAATTAAAATGAATGTTTACTGAGCCATGCTGTATCCCAGCACTGTGTGAGGTATGCAGTAATGACAAATGGGCTGAGCCAGTCCTGATGGGCCAGCAGCTTTTTCAGCCAGGTCTTGGTAGTGAAGGGCCACATGCTCCTTATTCTCCTTCAGAAAAGTGTTTAGGGGGGGCCCATGGTGGGTCAGTTGTTTAAGCATCTGACTTTGGCTCAGGGTCATGATCTTGCAGTTCGGTGACTGTGAGCCCTGAGCCCGAGTCTTCCGCCGGGTTTCAGGCTGATGGCTGGCTCAGAGCCTGAGCTCAAGTATTCTGTGTCTCCTCTCTGCTGCCTCCCCCACTTGTGTTTCTCTGTCTTCTCTTCTTTCACTCAGAAATAAACATTAAAAAATGAAAAGAAAAAAAAAGTGTTTAAAAACTGTGTGTCCTGCCTCAGTGGGTATACTAAGGTCAGATGGACTGGGTTTCTGCCCCAGGTTTCCCCTCTCCCCTTCCCATGATTTGGTAAGCAGAAAGGCCTCTTTAAAGTTAAGGAAGAATAGTAACTTGAATCCACTCTTCTTCCCTCAGACCCACAGAGAACCATATAATATTTGTAGTACCAATAACTGTTAGCTATTTGTTCTTTCTCATGCTGGGCTGGCCCTCAATAACTCTGCTTGCTGAATGCCCATGACCTTTAAGCAGTTCTGAATTTGAATAGTTGGCATGAATTTCAAAATAGCGCTTATGGACTTAAATTCAGGAAAAAAAAAGGAACTCTATTGTTGAACAGTAATAAACATAATGACCAATCTGATCAAGTTCAATTCTCTTGGATTAATTTTGGGCCTGCGAAACACTAATAAATACATTATTTAAAATTTCCATTCATAAGACTTAGGCTTCTTACAGGTAATCAACTTTTTCCTACTCTTTTCACCCTGTTGCTCTGAATGTAAAAAAGACACTATTGGATTTTACTTTTGTTCTGACCCGTCTTTACTGACCCTGAAAATTTACTGGATATGCACGCAAGTTTATACCCATACACTAGCATGTGCTTGGACTTTATTTCAACTTCGAAAGATTTTCATGGTGAAACCAACTCCAGCCAGTTGGCACTCTGTGCTGCCAGCCACTGGGTCCCTGGCCACCACCGCCTCTTTGCCTGGGTTGTGGTCTGTGCCTCCTGTCCATTCTCCCCACCTCCCTGCCCCTGTCCTTCTGCAACAGGAGTGTTTCTAAAACACCAGACTTTGTTCAAAAACCTCTAATGTCTTCATCTCTTGTCAGAATACAAGTCAAAAAAATCTTATAGTCACCTACTACTTAGTAATCTGGCCCTGTTATCTCTAAATAATACACTTTTATTCTCACTCTCTAACCCACAGGCAAGTGCTCCAGCCCCAGGACCTTTTGCTGACCTTTTGTTTTTATATCAATACAAGTATTTACACTAGAATTTACTTGAAATGTATGTCAAAAAGAGGTTCTTGCTCTCAAGGGATATATTCTTTGTGTTCTTTTTTTCTTAACAATTGCAATATAGATTGTTAATTTATGATTTCCAGAGAAAAGAAGATGCTGACTTATAATCACTGCAGTAATCTGAAATCCCCCCCTTTTTTTAAAAAAAGTTAAGATATTTATTTATTTGGAGGGTGAGAGAGAGAGAGAGAGAGAGACAAGTAAGGTACGCCTGCTGGGGGAGAGGGGCAGTAACAGAGCAGGACAGAGATTCAGCAGTTCTCAAAGTGCTGGACAGCAGAGAACAGCCTGATGATGGAAGTCGGAACTCATGGACCATGAGAGATCACACTCCTGAGCTGAGGTTGATGCGCTAACTCACTGAGCCACCCAGGGACCCCAGAAACTTCTTATTGCTTTTGCTTTCTGCTGGAAGTTGAACGGGCAGAAAGCTGGGAACCTGAGCCACCCAGGCGCCCCTATTGTATCTGAGTTTTGATAACAATCCACCAGAAACATCCTGAAGAGCCCAGAGAAGAGCATGCAGCAGCACGCTCTGGTTTGTGTTTGTGCTTACAGGAGCCATACGTTTCTGAAAAGAATTTTCTAAATTTTCAAAAATGGCTTTTCAATTACAAAATATACTGTGTACACTCATGTCCATGTGTCCCACAGCTTGTTCACCGATTATCAATAGCATCAAGTTAGTTGAGTGCCTACTATGAGCTAAACTATGTGCTTCCAACATTCACTAGATAAATATGTACTGAGAGGCCTCTATGTGCCGGGCTCCGTCGTGAAGCCAAAGGCTTGGCCTGTAAGATCTCGGCGCTGGGTCTCCGAGGGATGAAGCATCTCCCCAACAGACTCACATCATCATGCATTTTGTGTCCCCAAGGAGACGCGGCACTCCTGTCCCCACCTCTGCTTCTCAACCTCTCTGAAACTGAGAAAAAGATCCTAACGCTCCACTGCATTCTCGAACATGAAATTCTAGTGACCATCTCCATCAGCTGGAGGAAACGCTAATTACTTACATTTTATACTGTACGAAATAGATACTGCTGTTGCTGGTACAAGCCCTCCCAGGCTGCCAGTGCAAAATGTTGTGGAAATTTCGAGACTGAAAATGTACTCGCTGAGGCATCAGGGATTCATGGGCTGACTGGGTTTCTGGAATAAAAAGAGAAGGAAAAACATTGAACACGGATACAGGCACGATTGTTATTAGCACTACTTTTCAGTGTAATA